CCATTTCATTCATCCTATTGGTGAGGCTTTCTCCTGTCATTTCTAATTGACCTACTGAGTGTTTTACTTCCTTCTTCATTTCGGCACTTAATTACCTTCTTAAAACTGCTGTGCAAGAGGAGGGTGGAGGTGTGGATTCGAGGCCTGATTTACTTCTTTAAAACCAGTTCTGTGCTTTCTTTCATTCTGATAGGCATGGGGGAAGATGCGGTTTTGTAATTGTGTCCCAGGAAAAAAATATTAAGGTCTTTTTAAGAATTAAGTATGCATATCACATTCCAAAGTTTTTTGAACAGTTCATTGCTTTGTCTTCAAGAATTTTGGATGCATTTTGTTTATAAACCAAACAGCAAACCCATAATTAGAAATTTTGGTTCATGGCTGGTTTTTTTTTTTGTTGTTGTTGTTTTTTTCCTTTTAATTAGTGAGGGATTTGCGATGTAGCTCAGGAGTAGGGTACTGTAGTGCATGCAAGACCTTGGGTTTGATCTTTGGCCCTGCAAAGAATGTTGTTTTTAATAATTAGTGAGAGAAACTGCTAAGGATATATATTAAATGTGAAATCTAAGAATTGTTGCCGTGAGAATTACTGCAGGACCTATGTTGTGTTGGTTCTACATTCCTTTGATACATTTATTAAAAGCACAGTGATGCATTTCTTTCTCTGACTCCTTTATATCTGACCTGTGACAAAGGATTTGGGGTCAGAGACATACACATTATACTTCTTTTTATTTATTTCCAGAACACACATCCCGGTAGTCGTCCCTCCCGCCTCTCTCGTTCCCCCTCCCCTCCGTCTTCTTCCTTCCCTTCCTCCCATGAGTCTGATGTGATCCATGCCCTGTTGAGTCAGCAGTCCCAGAGCCAAAGATGATCTCCTCAGTTTCACCATTGTTGCCCTCCTCATGCTCTGTGTGGTGCTTCTGTGGCTGATGGAAAGAGTTGGATGAGAGGAGACATTGGAGAGGGAAGGTTCCCAGGTGAGGGTATTGTTGGCAATGGTAGCGATGTTTGGAATGGCCAGTGAGGCAAACATCTTGATTGCTTGATTAATGCAGGAGATGTAATACAGAGGGCACATTTTATTAAGGTGGTTTCCCACAGCAGGAGCCCATGAAACACCCTCTTTCCACAGGTTGTCAATACGCATTCCATGAAATAAGGCTTTGTTTTTTTTTTAAATATTGTATTTATTATTTTTATTTTATGTGTATGAGTGTATTCCATGCATGTGTGTGAGTTTACCCATGTTGTGTAATGCTATGGAGGTCAGAAGAGGGTGTCAGATTCCCCTGGAACTGGAGTTAAGGATGGTTCGTAGCCACCATGTGGGTGCTAGGAATGGAACCTGGGTCCTCTGCAAAAGCAGTCAGTGTTCTTAAGTGTTGAGCCATCTGTCCAGCCCTAATTTTATTTTTATTTTATGTGTATGAGTGTTATACCTGCATGTGTGTAAGTACACCCATGTTATGCAGTGCCTGTGGAGGACAGAAGAAGGCATCAGATGTCCAGGAACTAGAGTTATGGACGGTTGTTAGCCTCCATGTAGGTGCTGGGGTTCGAACTTGGGTCTTCTGCAAGAACAGCCAGTGCTCTTCATCACTGAGCCATTTATCCAGCTCTTGCAAAGAGTTTTTAAAGCGTCATTCATTTAAAATAATTATACCTTTAGTTTGCTTTGAAAAGATGTAGTGGGATTTTGACAAACAAGATATACGATTTCTATGGTTTGTACTTTAAAATTTTTTTTGTGTGTGTGTACACATGCATGCCACAGCACATATGTGGAGGTTGGAGCACAACTTGTGGGAGTGGCTTCTCTTCTACCGTGTGTATCCTGGGTATCAAACCCAGTTTATTAGGCTGATGGTAAGTGTCCTTCCGTGCTGAACCACCTCTAAATTCTGCTCTCTCTAAATTCTGCATTGCAGTTGCTTATTGAGAGCGAGCAGATGAGGAAAGAAGCTGACGATTCAGGTCCCCTCACTGAACTGGAGCACTGGAAACATATGTCGGCCAAATTCAACTATATCATCGAACAGATTAAAGGGTCAAACTGTAAGGCTGTCATAAATGTGCTAACCGTTGCACGTTCCAAGTTGCTAAAGGTAAAAGGCCTTTTCTTTTAAGCTTTGATAGGTTTTAGAACAACTTATTGGAAAACCACTCTTATGGAACTCTTTCATTAAAATTTTTTTGAGACATAATATTTGTATATCTTTAATGGGGTAGGTTATGGTTAGCTCACACACAGATATACTGTGTAACAACCAAATCAAAGTCATATCTATTTATGTCACTTCACAATGAATCTATATGTGTGTGTACATGTAGTGTGGGGTGCGTGTGTGTGTGTGTGTGTGTGTGTGTGTGTGTGTGTGTGTGGTTTCTCAGGGCCCTGCCCACCTTTTAAAAATATTTGGTTAAAAATTTATGTGTATAAATATTTGCCTGCATATATGTATTATGTGTGTGCAGTGTCTTTGGAGGCCAGAAGAGGGTGTCAGATCCCTTAGAACTGAAGTTAAAGATGGTTGTGAGCTGCCTTGTTGGTGCTGGGAACTGAACCTGTGTCCTTTGCAAGGGCAGCCAGTGCTCTTAACCTTGAGCCATCTCTCCCACCCTCATCTTATTT